TGAAGATGTATTGCATCGACACGATGCTACTGCGACTCGAAGAGTCGCATGAAGGAAAAGCTGTCTTGATGTTCCGCTCTGAAACAGAAGGAATCAATCCAAATCAACAACAATGAATCCATTTTGAACAGCGATCCACAGAGCGAGTTTTGACTGTGGCAAGGAGGTGAAACATTTTGAATACCGATGGCACGACGGATCTTCTCTTGAACCCTTCTGGATTTCTTTGTGTGAGATAGCACCTATTTTCGATGTCTCGTAAGGAAAGATACGACTTGAATCATGTCAAAGAAGAAGAGAAAGAAGCCAAATCCCGATGCCATTCGGTACACCTCCGGTCCTGTTCGCTCGCTCGATATCGATCACGCTGATCGTATGCCGACCCAGTTCTTCAAGTTATGAGCCCGTTCACGTTGAACAGCAGAACGCAGAACTGCAGGACGGAGACCGAACCGCCAAACGCCAAGGCGGAGCGCATCAACGGGAAAACAGGCTATATTTGTTGTTTTTAATGTGTGAATCGAAATTGAAAATCGCAAATTTGATAATGAAAAATCATGGAATCACGATCGGAATCGCGATGCAATAATGCGATGATCGATCTGAATCGCGATGGTGTTGGGGGAAGAGTAATGCGATCCGTGTACCACTTTGGAGCGGAATCGCAATCCGTGTACCACTTTGGAGCGGACCCCACATCATAAATACGGCTCAAGTTACCATGGGTCGACCGCAAATAGCAGACTACGACACCGGTCTGCTAGTGTCATGCTACACACGACACGGCGGCAGCTTCACAGAAGGAGCACTACGGGAACTGCAGAACCAGCCCGGATACGGAAGAAGAAACCTCGACTCCGTCAAGGTTGCCATCAGCAAGCAGCGCGGCAACAACAGGGAGCTCGATGAACGACTGAAAGCAATCAAAGAATCCTTCCGCCGGCAGAGAGGACTACAACAACAGCAACCCGCAAATGCCATCCGACCGCCGATGCCACCGCAGCCGCAGATGCAGTTACAGCTGCAGCAGCAGCAAATGCCGATGCAGTTCCAGCATCAGCAGCAGCTACAGCAGCAACCGCCGATGCAGCTCCAGCATCAGCAACAACAGCATCCGGCTTATAACAGCATGGCGCAACAGCAACCGCAAGAAACAATACAACAGCTAGCACCAGTACAGGAAGCCCCACAGCAACAGCAACAGCAGGACAACCAGCAACAGCAGCCGTTTTCGTTTCGCGACATAGCGACGCTGTTGTTTGCATGGTTGGGGGGATCTTTCGTTTTGCAAAACGGCGCGCAGCTGATCACCACGGTCACTGTCGCTGTTACGGAAGTTTTTCTCCTCGGGCTGATTCTGGCCATCGTGCTTTTCATCGGGTACTACGCGTTTCAAACAGTGAAGAAACTGCAACAGACCACGACTACACCAGCGCAGCAACCAGTAACCACCACCACACCGGCGCAGCAAGCACAACCAGCAAACACAGGCCTGCCAACGGGACCAGCACAGCCGATCCCGCAGACCACGACCAGCTTGCAAACAGCTCCGGAACCTTTGTCACCGACAAGGGCGATGCCACAGGCACGACAGCAACTACCGCTGCAGCAAAACAACAGTCACGGCTTCGAGCAGTTTCCGACCTTTGAACAAGTTTTTGAGCAAGTTCCTTCGCCGATGAATTCGCCAACGCGGGCACGAGCCAGAGCAGACACCGAGCCAGCACCAAACCAGCTACAGCCCTACAATTCCCTTGCGGGGATGATTCAGCGACAGATGGGTCATCCGAAGCTCGTTTTCGAAACAACAGAAAAGACAGCGGAATCAGCAAGAGCTTGGGAAGAGTATGACGGACTGTTGGGAACAAGGCAGCACAGAGTTCGTTTTTTCGATCTCCAGACCTGTTGCGCCCCAGTGGGATCGGTCGCGCACAACCTTCTGAACACCGCCAAAAACACGAAACAACCACACGACGAGGCGAGTTTTGAAGAGACGATCGACTTTTTCTGGGAAGTACTAGCGGGAACCGACATAACCAGGAAGAAAGTTCGGAAGAAAACGAAGAAAGACTTGCAGTCTTTGAAGCTTCCGGCAGCAAGCGCCACAGAGACGCTTTCGAAGCAGATCACCAAATTCAGGGCAGAGTACCTGAATAAGTTCACCACAGCAACGAACGAAGGGGG